TCTCAGAGGTCCCAGGCTATATATCTTTCACTGCATTACCTCTGGTGCTTTTTCTCAACCTTGCAAATTTTAAGATGGGTGGACTTGCTGGCTGGGGAATTCTGGGAGTTGCAGTCCCACCCATCTCAAAGTTACCAATGGTGAGAAATAGTGGCTTGGGAATTTAGGGAAGTCCAGTTCATCATATCTTTAGAGTGTTAAATTTGAGAAAGATATTCTACACTATTAGCAACTTTCAAGAATTCAATGTGTTCCAGGAATAAATTTGTTCTGTTAGTGACCTGATGCCTTTCTGTCTGGCAATTTACAAAAATGTCCTTCTAGAGATCTCTCAGGTCTTTAAACATCAGTCCTCATGTTGATAATTAAACTGACATCCTGGCACTATAAAGATGCTCCTCATCATGAAAAGCAACAATAAATTGTACATCCGCTTTTAATGGGCTTAGAAACTTGCAGTCTGTAAATCAGTTGCATTGTATTTTTGTGCTTTAAAAAAGTCTTAACAAGATAGTAATTGTTATAACTGAATCTGAGTCTCCTTCTCTAAAGTCTTAGTTTGGCTGATCTGCACTCAGCAGCTTTTTAGCTTTTCTACTGAACAAATGTTATTGGCGAAGGAAATAGAAAATCAATGTAAATACATTTAAGCAGAATAAAATGTGTCTGGGCTGCATGCTGTACAAAGCCTGCTTTAGCCAGGGATAAGTGTTATGTGTTTATAAACTCTAGATTAGACAGGATTAAAGGATCTCAGCCTACATTTGAAAATCTCTATTTTCTAAGCAGTCTCATGAAACTGATGTTCTTTTTCTGCAAAAACTCCTGTTCTTCATTTGATTCTGGCATAACCAAATAAAGAATGGGAAAATATAGATTTGGGTTATAGAGAGCGTGGAAAGTACTACACATTGTACTGATTCAACTGCAGAATACAGTACAGAAAAAAACTAGTGGTGATGAAGACCAGTTTATCTCCCTCAAATTGAATTCAGTTCTGGTAACATCATGGGCACATCCATGTAGTTTTTTTGGTAGCAATTTGGGTGTGGTCTGTCATTTTCTTATTTCAGGATAAACTTCTCAGCTGAGATTACTCTGAAGATTCAAAGTGTGAATTCCCAAACGTTGGTTTTGGGAGATAGAAAATAACTTGGTTTGTTCATTTCCTTCTCTTTCTTGAAACTGAGATAAAATCTGTTGCATCCATCTAAAGCTTAGCAGCCAGGGATTTTAGGCATGCAACAGGAAATCTGTTCTGAATGCCTGCCCCCTGCTTCCCTTTAAGCAAACTGAAGAAATTGAAACCTAAATATAAAATTCATCTACCTCATCGCAAGAATGGACAGATTGACCAAACAAGCTATCTCTTCCTGAGCTGCTTTTCTCTGAAGCACCACCTAGAAAGTGCTGACTGCAAGTTAACAAGCTCAGCTCTGTGACCTTAATTAGTTGATTAGAGCCTTATGGCCAGCTGTCTCTGCTGCCTGATACTGACAAGACTGAAATCAGTTTCATACTAAATACTTTAGTTTGCCTCCTTAGTGGCTCATGGCTCACAGCAGAAGTGCTCTAGGCACATAGCAGCACAAGTACCTTTCAATCTCTATTCCCCATTGTGTGTCTGTTTACTCTCTTGTAATCCCTTCCTCTCCAATAATGTAAATACAAACATCAGCCCTGTTCTTGCTAATTATCCCAGAGCCAGGGTGAGCATTCCAAAGGGGAAGAGAGATAAGGGGCTGTAAAATTTGCTCTTTTTCTTGGCTTCCTCGTGAATCAAGTTCTGGAAATCTTCCCTGTTTTTTGAGCTTCCCAGATTGTTTGGGGCCATATCCTTCTGATGGATTAGGGTTAGGGTATGACCCTGTGCAAAGCAAAGGAAAGCTGGAGTGAAATGGTAAGCACTGTCAAGGTTACACGATTTTCAGTTAGCAACTGCTTCACTTAATGACCAAGCCACCAGAACCTACTGTGGTTACTTGAATAGTAAGAACTCTACTACTGAACCTGGGAAATTGTCAGCATCTATGCAGAATGTGGGTTTATATTCAAAGCTCTGTGAATAACACAGAGCCAGGTACAGATCAAGTTGTGGAATCTTCTGGTAACAGGCAGGACTAGCATTACTCAGGCAAGTTCATAAGAAAGTCAAGCACTTATGAAGACTAACATTTGCTAAAGAAAATTAGGAAGCTGTAAGCAAAAAAAAATGGTCTATTTGTTTCAATTCAAGAATAAACCCAGCCCAGGTTTGAGTCCTGAGTGCAGAATGATGGGGTGAGCTCCTATTACTTACCCTACCTCCTGCCAACCTAGCAGTTCAAAAGCATTCAAATGCAAATAGATAAATAGGTACCACTTGGTGGGAAAGTAACAGTATTCCATGCACTTCAGCATATGTTATACTAGCCACATGACTACAGAAATGTCTTTGGACAATGCTGGTTCCCTCAGCTGACCAGATTTGACAAGGCTGGCCAAGCTTCCACTGATCATTTGTTTTGCAATGGTCAGATTTGCTCTTACCGTGCATCTCACTGACAATGTGAGAATTAATTAATTCTCACATACTGTTGATGCAAACTGCCAAAATTCAGTAGCACAATTTGCTCATTCACTACTAAATTTTCATATCATTTCAAATAATTTTTGAGGGGGGAGTATAACACCTAAACACTTTCTTTTTATATAGTATTTTATAACACTGAAATTAAAGACAGGTTGTTATTTGTTAGTCCTTGAGCTGCTACAACAGAATTTGTTGCTTTTATAACTGAATAATAAAGCTAATTCTTTAACCTCAGGATTAAATCTGGTATGATAAGCTTTGGTTTATAAGGTATGCCACAAGTGGGTGAATTTATATAACAATTTAAGTCATAAAGCATGGTTTGGAAACCCCAATAGCTGAATTGCCGAGACAAATCCAGATACGATATGTAATAATTTAGGATGTTCTATAAATTCAGCCTAAATGAGTTATAATTCAAAGATAATTCATTCTCTCCTTTTCTATGCTGCCTAAAATATATATACAATGGAGTTGAAGGGTAGATACAATCATCTGGTCCCTCAGCAACAAACTGTACCAATTTTTTCAGGATATATCCAAAGTATTATTTTTTTCTGTATTATTATTTTCAAATAAAGGGTTTTCTTTTTCCTTTAAGTTAATCAATTTTATAGCAGATTTTAACAAAGCTGTTAAATTGGTTAGGGCAGTAATTATCCTTGTCATCAACTATTATGGTTAGAAACAATGCATGGTGCACTAGAGACAGATTTTCCATTATGGTTTGGCAGTAAGAAACAATAGAATTTTTTTTTTTTTTTTAGAAATATAGAATGAGGTTTGCAACATACAATTTCTGCAACAAAAGTGCAGAAGCGACAGGAAAATTAAAACATGAAAACATCAAATTGAATGTTGCAAGGGTATCTGTTAATAAAACATTATCATTTCTTGCAGATCAGACTGCCTTTTGATTATTAATTCAATTCCAAAAGTGTAGCATTTCATTCATATATCAGCTGAAAATAACTTGTAACACTAGTGGATGGAATGGAGAAAGAAGAAGAGAAAATCCGAGGGGATCAATCTTCTTCCTGTGCCATATCCATCATCGGACATTGGCAATCATGTTGGCAATCTTATTTTTATCAAAAGCAGCACAGAAAAGTGCTGCTGAGTTTTGTCCAAATCAGTCCCTTAGATTTTTGAAGCCATGATGTTCTTCTTCTGCCTGGACCTCGTTTACCTTCAAACTTTCCCTGGAAGATTAAGTGAAGTATGGCGTATTTTTCCGGTTGTCGCATCATATGTCTAAAATATTCTAACTTCCACTTTTTTAATGTTTTTGATGATTTCCCTTGGCTTCCCCAGGGAGCTTATGACCTCCTCATTTCTGATTTTGTCAACCTACCTTATACATAACAGCTGCCTGTAAACCCACCTTTCAAATGCTATTAGTCTCTTCAAGTGACTTTCTGTCAGAGACCAACGCTCTACTCCATAGAGCAGGATAGAAAAAATGTAACATCTGAAATAGGAAAATAATATTCTGAGGTCTATCTTGTCTGCTAACTTGGTGACTGTGTTACTGAAGAATATAAAGACTTCCTTAGGTTGGGTATTTGCATCCTGAGGGATATATCTAATATATCAGGGGTGAAATTTGACCGGCAGCAGATAACGGTGTGCACGTGCGTGGCTGGCACATGCAACAGGGTGGGGGCGGCAGCACATTCAAGAAGTGGAGTGGCTCCAGTAATTTTCACTGCAAGAAGTCTGCAGCCACCACATCTTTTGGTGCAAGAAGCGCCTCCAGGCACACTGAAAAAAAGAGGCGGCGGCTGCAGGCATCTCGCGACAAGGGGGCGCGAGATGCGGGCTGGTGGGTGGGAGCCCAGCGATGACCACTCAGCCCTGGCTTGCCTTCCCTGGCAGCCAGCCACAGGAGGAAGGTAAGGATGCATCACATGGTGAAGGGAAAGCAGGAGGCCTTTGACAGATTAGGCCAGGCCTGGGCAGAAAATAGGTAGAAGAGAAATTCAAAAATTTTTCCTACCGGGTTCTGTGGGCGTGGCTTGGGGGGGTGTCATGTGATTGAGTGGGCATGGCTTGAGTGATGTTGAGTTGGCCATGCCCACTCAGTCACAGAACCCCCCCCCAAGCCACGCCCATAGAACCGGTAGGGAAAAAATTTGAATTTCACCACTGAACTATATATATGCAAACACCCAACCCAAGGAAGGCTTTATATTCTTCAGTAGAACAGTCACTAAGTTAGCAGACAAGGTACAGCTCAGAATATTATTTCCCTATTCCTATTTGAGAGAGAGAGAGAGAGAGAGAGAGAGGGAGGGAGGGAGGGAGGGAGGGAGGGAGATGGGATGTATATTTATTCTATATTTATTTCTCCTTAGCCAAGGGGTAAAAAGCTGAGGAACAAGAAGGTCCATTCACTGGTTTCATTTGTGCTTGTTTGTATCTTTAGGGTGATCACGGTTTTTCGCCTAAATAATTTGACTCAGTATCTTGTTCAGCCTTCAGAATGGAAAGGAGGAGCTCAGCATAAGGACGACATTTTATGTGCAGCATTTTTACCTCCACAGACTCTTGTCACAGGTAGAGAAAGACTTAATGACTGAACTAATGGTGCTTCAGTGCAGAATTAGATCTGCTGTCTGGTCTAAGTTATATATTGTATTTTGTAGAGCTTAATCGCTTCTGAAACATAGAAAGAAAAAATGAAATCATGCAATAAGACAATTATGGGTCTGACCTTCCCTTTTCTTCCATTATGCTCTTCAACTTCTAACTTAGAGAAATCTGGGAACTGTGAAATTTCTTTCTAGATGGTCCTACACTAAAAAGGTAAAAGAAATGAGTTTTAAGAAACATGAAAGTGGATATTATTATATAAAATCATAAACTTTTAAATCTTAGTTATCCATCTGGATGGAAAGCGTATGTTCTACACTAGAGTCTCAACCTCTTCCAGGGGTGAAATCTACTTACCTTCCCTCCCGGTTTGGAAGTGCACATGCTGTGCGTGCGCGCTCACTATGCCCATGCACACTTGGACCCTCTGTGCATGCGCAAAGGGTAAAAAACAGGTTACTTCCTGGTTAAAACCAGGAAGTAACGACGACCGGGCAGGTGGTCGGAGCCTTGCGCTGCCATTGCTACTGGTTCTCTGAACTACCCCGCTGCCATCCAGTGGTGGGTTCCTCCCGGTTCGGCCTGGTTCTGCCGAGCCAGTAGTGGTGACGATATGACGTCACTGAACTGGTTCTGCCCCCCCCCGCGTTATTATTACCTTTTATTTGGCACAACCCCCAATCTATTGCTGCCTCCTGAGTCCCAGCTGATCGGCTAGAAGGAAAAAAACTATTTAAATTCTTGCCATGGGGCTTCAAAGGGCTGCCCTACAGCTGATCAGTGTTAAAAGGCAGTGTGCTGGTAGACCAGTGCCTCCAAAAACAAATGAGTAGACAGGTGCCTCCAAAAACAAATGAGTAGACCGGTACAGCTCTGCAAGCAGTTAAAAACCTGGATTGTCACATGACCATCAAGCCATGCCCACAAAATAAGCCATGCCCACAGAATTGGTAGTAAAAAATTTTAGAACCTACCTCTGCTGCCATCGCTACCAGTTCGGCCAAAGTGGTCCGAACCAGTAGCATTTCACCCCTGACCTCTTCCCATTCTATTCCTCTTATCAATCCCAAAGGTGCTTTTTCAGGAGGCAAGTGGACTTTCTTGTTTTTTCTTTGAAGACATTTAGCTTCTGATCCATGGAGCTTCTTCAGCTCTGACAGGATAGTGGGGAATGAAATGATTTATAATCCTTGCAGGCAGCTGGTCATGTGCATCCTTTTAGAGGGTCATTGAAGTACTTGAAAGTTTAGAAGCTTCTTGGATGAGAAGTGAAACATCTTCAAAGAAAAAACAAGAAAATCCAGTTCCCTCCTGAAAAAAGCATTTGGGACAACCATGACTTGGATGAGTGAGAATCTCTACAGACTTTTAGCTATACAATTTGGGATGAACACCCTTTGAATGGTGTGGGAGTAGGAATGGATTTTCAGAAGAAAAAATTGCAGACTACAGGAAGCAGGAGATTCCTACTCAGGAGACCCTGAGGATACAGATAAACCTCCAAGTGCTTCAACGACTGTAAATCCTTCCATTCCCCACTATCCTGTCAGAGCTGAAGAAGCTTCTTGGATGAGAAGCAAAACATCTTCAAAGAAAAAACAAGAAAGTCCAGTTGCCTCGAGACTGTTATTGGTTCCTGTTGCTTCCATCTGAGCTTGATTCTTGACAGTTATTTTGAAGTTGGATGAACAACACTTTAATATTGGATGATTATTTTAATTTATTTTATTTATTACAACAATCATTTTGCATCCTGCCAACATCTTCAAGAATTCCCTATGGTTTGCTAGCATAGCACTAATTAAAATGTCCGTAGCAAGTTAAATTAAATAAGGATTAAAAATGGAGCAGCCACAAGCAAGCAATAAGGCATTAACTTTCAGAAGGAAAAACAAAAGAAGGAACACATTTAAATTCTAGAGAGTTTTGGATAGACACCACTACTGAACTACAGCAACTCTGGGTGTCAAATCCCACGTTCCTCAACAGCTCTCAGAAAAAATGGATGTGATGGGTAGGTTCTGGTTGCAACAGGACTCCTACTAAAGTCAATTTATCAAGCTGTATGAGGCTTAGCATTTTGAACTGCCCCGGGTAAGCTTTGGAAGCAAATGAAAAGTCCACTAGTCAGATATAATATGCAATGAACACTAGTTAACAAGTGGGCTGCTATATTTTTTTTATTGCTTGCAAGATGAGTCTGGGGGGGAGGGAGTCCCATGTAGAGCACATTGCTGTAATCTAATATCATAGCACAGATTTGTTCAAATGTTTAATCAAATTAATTATTCATAATTAACAACAGAGTAATCTTTACCTACACAAAAAACCTGATGTAGGGTGTGTGTGTGTGTGGTGGGGGAAGGAACTTACATCTTTTATGTGTTGATAAAGTCATCACTCTCCATATTGGCTTTCTGCTACCGGTTCAGTTTTCTTTTGCGGGATCTACAATTACCCCACTCCTAATGCAAAGACTTCATACAAGGTTGCAGAATGGACTTTCACTTTCACATTTCACTGGTTCTTTTCACACCAGAGTGGATTTGACAAAACAAAATTGAGAATAGGGATCTATTTTACTGCTGGATCCCATCCCCTAAATGGTTTGATGCCCGTATATGCAAACTTAAACCTGAATTGTTGGGATAAGGGAAGATGTCAGGGATCGCACCATTAAGTTAACTTAGTCTTTTTTTAAAATTCACTTAATCATCTGATTTAAATAGAAATTTATGCAATGTTTTGTTATTAACTTTTGCATCAATTTAACGTTTTGCATTGCATTGTTTGCTTATTTTGCAAACAGAATGCCTTCTGGAGAAACAGATAAGTACATGCCATGGGATCCTAAATAAGATGGGTGTGTGTGTGAGAGAGAGAGGGAGGAGGGAGGGAGGGAGAGAGAGAGGGAGACTGATTTATAAGGAAAAAAAAACTAGAACAAAAAATAGATGGGTTAGTAAGACTGCATGAAACAATATAGATCATGATTTAATGGTTAAGTTCACAGCATTCTTAACTTGATTGGTAAAGATGTAGATCCTGCATTCCACAACATATTAAATTTGGCTATTTATAATATTGTTAATTTTCTTATTTTTAGTTGAATGAACCCAATTGTAAGGTCAGTTTAGGGTTCATTATATTGACTGAACCCAGTAAATGAGTTAATTCAGTAACTAGAGTAAGTGTGTTATATGCAACCCTCTGTATAATGCAGTTTTTTTCCCTTATTAGACCATTTCTTATAGAAAACTGCAGCCATTCTAACAACCCTGAACATAATATTTCTACACACCAAAACATGAAACATTCAGCACTTCTTAATCTTATTTTCATATTTGATTCATCTTTACATACTGTTTTTGGTAATGCATTTACTTTTATGATTTAATTCAGGCAGTTCTGATGGTGAGATTGTTCTATGGAATAATAGTACTGAAAATGCCATCATGAAGCTTTCCTACAATCCTGGAAGATCATTGAGGTCCAACTCAGGTTTGTGAGCGTCATAATGGGACATTAGTTTTCTTAGACATAACAAAACTGTTATTTTGTATAGGAAGGGGAACAACAAATGACTCATTGCATCGAACTTTTCCATTGTAGGTTGGTGCCTGCAAGGAGTAGTCCAAACTGAAATCCATAAATAATGTGGGGGGGGGAACTGTCCATTGAGTGATGATGCTGAATTATATTAGTTGAATTGAGGTACTTGTGAGCTACATAATGAATGGTCATATTGCAATGGTCAAAGAGTGGTAGAAATTGGAACCATGCTATTCAAGACATGTGACTGATACCCTCAAATGTCCATGTTGGCACGAGACAAGAGATTTTACTAATGTACATAAATCAGCTATCCCCAACTTGAGTGCTCTCCAGATATGTGGGATTCAATTCAGCTGTGGAGGAATCTAGGCTGGGGAAATATAATACTAGATAATCAATTACCTAGCAGCACTAATCATATTGAATAGGTAATTATATGTACAGTAGTCTGCCATGTCCTTATGTAGGATAAAAGTAAGTTCACCAAGCATTTAGACTTGGATCAGAAGTCCCAGAAAATAAAGGAATGCTAGCTTCTCTATTGAAATATGGACAGCTGTTACATATGTACACTTTCCCTCCTGTGTATCTCCTATCATATTGCTGCTTGGTAAATTATCATTTGTTTTTAATCTAGCAACATTGCAATTATCTCATTCTATGGGATCAAGCAGGCCAGGAAAACTTTGATCTCTGGAATTAATAATAATGAGTTCCAGCTAGGAGACTGTTTCTGCCTTTGCTTGTCAGAGTGACAAAAGGCAGCAGCAACCAGGCTGTTCCTTGTAGATTGTTTGCTAATTCCCCATCACACCGAAAACGATTGTTCCTGTTTATTGTCTCAGATCTATGTCAGCAATTTTTGTGTTACCATCTTCAGCAGGGAGTATTTTCCTTAATTTCTGCCTTGTTTAAGTGCAAGATGATAAATAATTTCAGGGGGCTCCCTTGCAACTCAGCCTCCCCTCGAGGCTGTTCATAACCTGAGAAATTTCATTTGGCTGAGTCTTCACACACTAATGGTTATCATATATTAACCAACATGCCAGCAGGCAATTCATAATTGCTCCCCATTCTACAAATCGCAGCTTCCATTATGGAAGAATAACTCGCATATATAAGATAGTGAAGTGAGAAGAGTTTGTTATAGTAGGGACAGAAAAGTATCTTCAACTAACGTTACAGGATGGCTTGGCATATCCCTCTTCTCTCCTTCCTTAAATTGCACGGCACTTTTTAAAAAGGGCCAGCTATATAAATTTTAATCTCATCAAATCTTGCTGTCAGGATAGCCTATAACACATAAGGCAGAATGGCAAGAAAAAGAAACTTTTGATCTTCTGCACTTGTGTCACTCACAAGAAGAGAAGCTTTTCTTTCGTTCTTTCGTTCTTTTTTTTTTTAAACACAAATTGGACGATATCTAATCTTCACTAGATAAATAATCTCTTTATCTAGATATGCCAGAAAATCATTTTGTTATGAATAGAGCTGAAATAATGATGTTGGAAGAAGATGTCTAAAGCCCTTAAGGACCTAAAATGTGTATGAAGATTGTAATGAACCAACAGAGAGCAATTTGGTGGCTGTAGAGCATTCCTAATTTGAAATGACCTCTGCTGATCCATGTCTAGCATGGGATCATTTCAGTATATTTGTTATGCAGAAGCCCATTAAATTGGTGTTATATTATCTGCAAATTTATTTCCTTTATTAAGAAGGAGAGAGGACTGAAAATATACTGCAGTGTACGTTTGAGAGAAAGATAGAGCCAAGTTCTGTCTTTGAAGAGGTACCGAATGCAACATATCCAAATTGCCGAATGCCAGAATAAAACATCATACATTATATATAAAATGCCTAATAAGTTGTTCCCTGCATATTTAATACTTTCCCCTTCTGTCCCATTTAAATGCGTTTTTGGCAGTAACATTGCTAGGATCCTAGGGCCATACCCAGAGCTTAAAGAGATTGTTTATGGCCTCAAAACATAAAACTTTATTTTTTAAGATCCCGGGGAGTATGAAGGGATAAGAAGAAAACAAAAATAAGGAGCAAAACATGGAAAGAAAATGCAACATTCAGCATCTGTTACTTAATAATTATGCAGCATAAAAAATTAACTTTCAAACTTGTCTGGTACCTCTCTTTCCTGTGAATATAAGAATAAATATTCTATATTTGAACTACAGCAAGTGGTGGCAATAAGCTGACCTTGAAATAAATAAATAAAGAGCAAGCATAAAGTGAATGGGAGACCACCAGGAAATGACAGGGCTATACATTAGTCTAGGAAAATGAGAACAAAAACAGTCATGGGATAAAATAATGGCAAAATCCTTCCAAATTGCTGCCAAGAAAACTGCATGACATGTCTAGAGTTAAGCTGAATGGAAGACTCATTTATTTTTATCCTGTTGTTAAGTTGGTTTGTGATACATATTTCAGCATATTTCAGGTTCCAATTTAACTCTAATTAAAACCCATATAGAGGCACAATATGATCAGGGAGATTAAAATGCAGTAAAATAGCTTATTCTATTTCCTGATTCTTTTCTTTTTAGTCTGCTATTCCAAAGTAGTGTGTCAGCCCTGGAGGCCATCTTTTTCTTTGGATCTTCAGGGCTGCCACACTTAGTGGTGTGGGAAACTGGGAGGGGGGATTGCATGGAGTAGTAGAGATATCTAGTCATAATAACATTCTTTTCTCTGAGAGTCAAGGACATTCTGCCTGAACCTGGAGTGGCATGACTGGGAGGCATCTCGAGTTGGGATGGTGCATTGATTGGGCCATGTGATGAACATGTGGGTGCAGGGGAAGGGACTTGGACTTTCTTTTGGGTGAGGAAAACCTGGAAGCTTAGAGATGTGCCAATATGACATCTCTAATGAAATGGAACTTTGAGGAACTTCTAATCTTGGGGTCTTCTTTCACTGGGGGTGTTACTTGGAACCCTGACATAGTTTTGCTTTCTGGTTGTTGCCATTTTTAAAAGTCAGAATTATAGGATCATAAAAACGTACATCTTGATGAGACCACGAGGATCATCTTGTCCAACCCTCTACAATGAGCAGGAAAACAACCAATTAAATCATCCTGGAGAGATTGCTCTCCAGACATCTTAACATCTTCAGAGATGATGTCAACCCTGAAGCCATTTTGGAGCGTGTTCAGGGCTACCACAACAAGGCTGGTTGGAGTTGTGGGAATGGGAGGGGGTGAGTAGAGATAGCTGGGGACTTGTAGCCAAAATAAAATTCTTTCTCCTGGGAATCAAGGACGTTTCCACCATGTGCTGGGGAGGCATGGACTGAAGCCAACTGGAGTTGGGATTGTGACCTGATTGTACCATGTGATGGACATGTGGACTGGGGGAAGTAACTTTGAAATTTAATTTGGGTGGGGAAAACCTCGGGACCTTCAGAGTTGGGTTTTCACCAGATGTGCCAATATGACATGCCTAATAAATTTGGGCTTTGAGGAACACTTTGGCCTCGGAGTTTTGATTGCATTGGGTCTGTTACCTGGAACCCTGACAGGTGGAGAAACTACAGCCTCTATAGGAAGATTGGCTTTGCATGTATTTAAACTAAATCTAGGTAGCTGCAACTTATACCCATCATCTCTGGTCCTAGTTTCTGTGGCCAATTGGCCATGAAGAACAGTTCTTGGCCATGTTTTTACAGTATATCCAGACTATGTTCCTGTATCTTCTCTGCAATTTTTTCCTCTTCATACTGAACAGTATGGAGGTTCCTTCAGTCTATCCTCACAGAGCATGCTCTTAACTCCTTGAATCTTTGTTGACCTCTGAACCCATTCCAACTTGTCAATATCCTTCCAGAAATGGGGTCTCAGGATATACAAAACCCCAAGCCATGGTCTCAACAACGGAGCAAGGTTTTCCCATTTTTTCTTAGATACAGAGTTTCTTCCAATGAAGGCCTGAACTGTGTTAGTCCTTGCAACAAGTGTCCCACATTAATGATACATATTTAGCTTGTTGTCAATGACCACACTCAAGTCTTTCCCTCATATAGTGCTTCTAAGTCATGAATCCTACTACTTGCATATTTTCTTCCCTAAATATAGTATTTACTGTATATTTTTCTTGTCGAAGGATATCTTCTTTCTCACACCTCAATGTTCTATCTTCTCTTGATTAGATTGCAACCTTGTTCTGTCTTCCAGAGTATTGGCCATAGCTCTCAATACTGTGACATCCACAAATTTTACCAACAACCCATCAACCTTGTTATCCAGATGGTTAATAAAAATGTTGAAGAATACCAAATCCACTGGCTGTTGCTGTCCAACTCAATATGGAACCATTAATGCTGAATCTCTGAGCATGAATTAATGTGCCAATTCATCTTCAAGTAGGATCATCCAAGCCAGCTTGTCAATAAGAAAGTTGTATTGTATGCAACCTTTCCAATAACTTTGTTGAAATTAGTTTGTGTCTATAGTATTTCCATGGTCCCTTAAAGTAATTTGCCTTGTCAAAGAAGGTGACGACATCTGTTTCATGTGAGTTATTTTTGACAAACCTATATTGACTGTTGACTGGAATTACAGCATTGTGACCTTGATGTTTGCAAATAGTCTACTTTATAACCTGCTCTAACATCTTTCCAGCTATTGACTTTAGGTTCACCTGTTAATAATTACTAAGATCTTTTTTTCCCCTCTCACTTTTCTTCTCCAGACCTCTGGCACCTCCCCAGTTGCCAGAACCTCTGAAAGTTAATTGATAAAGGTCTTTAGCAAATTCCTTCAATCTTCTCCTTCAGTCTATTTCATCAGGGCTTGACGAATTGAAAGCCTTTAAATTAGCTAGAAGTTCATTTGTTACATCAATCTGACCTTTTCATCCTCCCCTCTTGTTTCAAAGGGTCAGCAGTAAAAGGAATGAGGTCTGAAAGGCAAAGGCAGAAAATGATCT